CAGTTTTCTGACTTTGGTTGGGCAGGTTACTCAGTTCCTCTGAGGCTGGATGTATCTATAAAGTGAGGGTGGGGTGGGTGTGAGAATCTCTGCACCACAGGGAGTATAAAAATTCAGGGGGTTAATATATGTCAAGTGCTTAGCTCGTGAGAGGTCTATTTTAAGGTAGTTTTAAAATATGTTCACAAATCCTTTAACAACTATCCAGTCGAAAGGTACAGTCTATGTCCCCAGCATCGCTCCAAATATAAGTAGCAGAGTACCAGAGCCCGGGACTGAAGCTGACCTGGAAAGTTCTGGGATGGGGATGCGGGTTACGTGCGCACGTGCAAATGTGTGACTGGTCTATCGGTTTCCATCGCTGTTGTCACAAATTACCACAAACTTAACAACTTACAATCCCACCCCTTTATAAGCTGACAGTTCTGGAGGTCAGAAGGCCAGCCACAAACATAACTGGGTTTTCTGCTCAGCCGGGCTGAGTTCTCATCTGGGACTCCGGGGGAAATTCCAGAGCTCATCCTTGCTGTCAGCAGAGTCCAGGTCTTTGAGGTTGTAGGAGTGAGGCCCCGTTTCCTTGCTGGCATAGGGTGAATTGAAGGCGATTTAACATAACGCGTCTGCACGGTGCATGCGGTTTGGGGGGCAGGGAATCTGGGGAGTTATTTGACAATTCTGTCCACCACAGGTAGGACAGCTGCTTCACCTAGAGGCTCCTCAGAGCCAATTTTCCCAGCCACCCGCTGTAACTTCAGGTGACCTTGGCAAAGAGAGGTGGAAGGGACAGTGTGTGTGACGCTGATGGGGAACCACAGGGCTGTGACCGGGAATGTCTAGTAGGGATTTGCTGTCCCAGTACTTAGTACGTCACACGAACCAACCTCCATTGTCTGCATTGGAAAGGGAATCCTCGTGGGTGAGTACCCTGCCCAATCTGTTGGTGGAGCAAAGTCCTGTGGCTGCAAAGACCCGAGCATGACTGTTGAAGACTGGGAAAGCCTGTGTGACTCTCCTGCCGTCTGCCATCACTCCACTTCCCCCCGACAGGCTGGTGCTGTGCTGTGTGGCGTTTACCAACACAGGATCATCTCTCATCTGGATTGTTACAGTAGCCATCTTCTCCAGCCACACCGGCTTGCTGATGTTCCTCCTTCAGCCAAGCACTCCTGCCTCAGGACCTTTGTACACACTGATCTGTCTTTCTACACTGCCGTCTCCCAGACTTCCACAAGGCTCACTTCCTTCAGAGAGCTCTGCTCAGGTGGTATCTTCTCAGGGACATCTCCCTCGATCGCCCTCCATAAAATTGCACACCCTTTGCATTCCCCGTCTTTTTGTTTTTCTTCCATGGGCTGACCAACATGTGGCATTGTATCTCTACGTTTTCTTGTGTTTTTGTGTGTCTCTCCCCACTACACCATGACCTATACCGGGGCAGACTCTGTTTTTTTCACCGCCGTGTCCCCCAGCCCCTAGAACGGTCCCTGGCACGCAGCGGGTGGATGAACGTGCTGTGAGTACATTCGGTGAACAAAGAGGTGGATGAGAAAAGATCCATTAGGGTCTTGCCTTTGGAGGAATTCATAGCTGGGTGACAGGAGAAAAGGCGGATATGAACAGATCTTTGTGGTGTCACATTGTGGGGTGCTGAGGGCGCCGTGGGGAGGGGCCAGGACAATCAGAAAAGCATTCCCAGAGCAGTGACGTTTGAGCTTGTGTTGTTGCATAGGAAGCGACTGGGGAGAGAAGGAGGGGTTCTCACCCCTCCCCTTGTCCCTCTGCCTCAGTCACACTGGCTGATGGCTGTCCTCAATCCCGAGGAGCAAGGAAAGAGGCGCTTAAAAGGAAGAGGAAGAAGTCACCTAAAGTCTCCGGTTCAGGTGCTTGCGGCCCATGTGCTTCCTGGAACCAATCACTGAGCCAGGAAGATGGACCGTTGTCATTGGCCAGGCCTGGGTCACGTGCTCCCCAGGAACCCGGGTTGGGGAGGACATCCACTCTTTTTAATCACAGGAGGACGGAAAAGGATGGTTTGGGGGCTGTTTCCAGGTGGGGAAACAAATGCTGAGAGGCAAAACACTGTTATCACTTTTGTTTTTCCTACTTCCCTCTTTTCACATCCCCCATGGCCCTAATCTCTGTTCTGGTCTCAGTTTTCCTGTACTCGGGACTTTGTTCTGTGTCCAGGCCAGGGCCATACCGCTCGACAATGGGGGGCGGGGGTGCTGTGCACGCAAGAGAGATGAAGGGAGAGTGTGTGTGTGTGTGTGTGTGTGTGTGTGTGTGTGTGTGTGTGTATGTGATGTGGGGGGAGCATCTGGACGTGCTGAGGGTGTAAAGTCGTCCCAGCTTCCACATAGTGACTAGGCCCCCAGTACCAACAGATCAGGCTTCACATACAAACCGTTACGTAGGCTTTCTAGTTATTTACTGACAAGATCATTTCTTCAGGAAGAAGATCCTATATTCAGAACAACCGAACTATTAAAGGAGAAAGCAACTCGTGTAGTGCTTTAGTCTGTGCCAGCTGCTATCACAAAACACAGACTGGTTAGGGTTAGGGTTATAACAAATTTATTTCTAACAAATAACAAATTTATTTCTAAATAACAAATTTCTAAATAACAAATTTATTTCTCACAGCTCTGGAGGCTGGAAGTCAGATCTGAGTGCCACGGATGGGGGGTGGTGCTTTTCTGGGTTGTAGACTCTCGTATCCTCACCCGGTGGCAGGGGCTAAGGATCTCTCTGGGGCTTCTGATGAGGGCACTGGTCCCATCCATGAGGGCCCCACCTTCGTGGCCTCATCACTTCCCAAAGGCCCCACCTCCTAACACCGTCACTTTGTTGTTTTTTAATTGGAGAGAGAGAAAGCATGAGTTGGAGAGAGGGGCCGAGGGAGAAAGAGAGACTTTTAAGGCATAGAGCCCTACACGGGGCTCAATCCCACAACCCTGGGCATCATGACCTGAGCTGAAATCAAGAGTTGGATGCTCATCTAACAACCACCTAGGTGCTCCACTGAGGCCATCACTTTGGGCATTAGTTTTCAACATTTGGATGTGGGGAGGACACAAGGATTCAACCTACAGCACTTACTCTGACAAAGCTCTTTGTTTTGCTTTAAAATGCTCCTCTGTCCTTTAACTGTAGAATGACCAGCCATCCTGGTTTTCCAGAACAGAAGGGGTTCCAAGGACAGTTTTGAAACTAAGACAGTCCTGGCAAAGCAGAGGTATAAAAACCAACCAAAAAACCTGTGTTAAGGACTTTTAGGATTTTGAAATCATAGAAAATTTAAACATATGCAATTATACCATGGTTCAATCGTAAGCAAAAGTTAATCTCAGCACAATACTTGAATAACATATTTATTCTAAAATGTGTTCCTAATTATTCTCTAATATAAGGTATTTCATCTGTTATTGATGTATAACACAGAGGAAACTTTACCAAAGACTCAGATCAATGAATTCTCATGAGGTTAAGACACCATGTAATTGCCACCCAAATAAATGGCTTTCAATGTAAAAAAAGCCCACATCCAACTACAGAAGAATTTTCTTTTTGTTCTCTGAGACAGCAGTTCCCTACATCTGGAGTCTGTATGCTCCTTGAGCTACCTAAACTGATGCCCGCGAATAGCTACCAGAATGCCACGTATACCATCAAAAGAAAATAATCCAACTCCTGGGGATCCTTGCAAATTATAAACTGTTGTTCAGTGCTGGGGATTTTTACATTAATTAGCAATTAATGTTTACAAGTGTTTTGGTAGCATGAAATATTTTTGGTAAAAAAACAAGAGTGTATTTATGACTGTGTACATGTTTCCTTTCTTTTCGAAACTACTACTATGGGTTTCCTTGGCTGCATCAGCTGGTCTTGATTCCAATTTGCCTGAGGTTAAAGATAAATGTAGGTGGAAAGCCCTACATTACCAGCGATGCGGCTTTGTAAATGTTGCCAAAATGATGGTAGCAGCTACACTGTGCAAATCTTACTTTTCAGATGATTACTTTTTAAATAGCTAAAATACTGAGGCCATCTGACTGATGTATATAGCAGGCTAAGGGGAGCCCTGGAGGTCCTGTGTGGGCACAGACCAATTAAGTTGAGCACTCAGTGAAATTGCTTTCTCAGCCAGGATGGAGAATGATTGATCACAAGTCAAACCGTACACATGTCAGGCTGAAAGAGTTTACAGGTAAATTTGGCCCAAGGCCATTGCCACTTCATTTCGCTGGCTGAAACACTTCAAGTGGTCAAGTGAGTGGGGGGAAAGCCACTTAATTCTTTGCGCAATGAGATCCTCCGGCGGGGTCTTGCGTTGGTTTCCATTACGGTATGGAGGTAAGAAAGACCAATTTCTGGTCTCCATATGCAATGACGGGGGCTGGGAGGTCTGTCTATAAACAAGTGGTTCTCAACCCCAGGGAACGTTGGAAATTGCTGGGGAGTTCAAAAAACAAACAAACAAAAAAAAAACACACACAAAAAAGATCCAGATCCTCAGGACACACCCAAGACCAAACACTCCGAATTTTCTGGAAGTGGAGCCCAGGCATTTAAGCACGTTTTATCAGGTAATTCTACGCGCACCTATGGTAGACGACGCTGGGCAAAGAGTTCGAATCGGTAGCAAAGCCTCCTCCCTCTGCGGAAGGTTTCTGAGACCAAACTTCCAGGAGGGTCGGGGTAATTTCAGCTTGCAGGTCCGGACGTCAGCGGCAGGACTTGGACCACGGCGCTCACCTAGCACAGCACCAGTTTAGTAATAGGCATTCTCACGCACGTCTCCTTTGGAGACCCACCCCCCGCCCCGTGAGCCGGAAATCTACGATCAAGTACAAGCGGCCGAAAAACCCCTAACCACCCCACTCCCGACCGCGGACGTCTCCACTGCGTAAGGAGATCAAGAGCCCAAGGCGCATGCGCGAGCAAGGCCGAGGGCTGAGGTTTGGGGGGCGGCGCTGAGGCGCCTGCGCGGCCGCGGGGGCGGTGCTTCCGGTCGGCGGAGGCGGGGCCCGGCGCACGCTGGGGGCGGAACCTGCACCGCGACCCCGACCCTGACCCGGGCCGCGACCTCCACCCGGGCCCACCGGAATGGCCCGGCACGTGTTCCTCACGGGGCCCCCAGGTAACCCCGCCCGGGTCTCCGCTTTTGGGCGGGGGGGGGGGGCAGCCGGGGTAGGCGGGAGGTGGGGGGCGTTCCCGTGTACTTGGGAAGGGGCGGCAGGCTCCAGGGTTCTCGCAGCTGGTCCCTAAAGTCCCCAGTGAATGTTACGGGCTCCGTGACCCCTTCCCAGAGAACGTGATTTGAAGTACAAAAGACAGGGCTAGAAACGAGGCCAAGACTGGTAAGAAAAAGAGCTGTGGTTTGGTAGCATGTGGGCTACTTTACGAAGGCATTAAAGGGGGGCGGGGGGTCCCACGGCAGCAAGCGTAAGGGCGCAGTGTTGAGCTCAGTGATGCGCGCACACGGTATTGCAGGATGCCCGCCGCGGCCGTGATTGACGGGAAGGTGCCCGGTTTCTGTGGATGGTCACACGTGCCGCCGCTACGGTGGCTCTGGCCTACCATCCGTAATGAGAGGAAGCGCAGGGTTTTCTCCTGAACTGTAGTGAAACTGAAGATGAGACTTCCCACTCCCCAGTTGCCTGCAAGGGTGAGGCCGGGGGACTCGGTGCCTCCAGGAAGCCCCTCCCAGGTCCTGTGTCTGTGGCTTTGGGCACATCCCTCAACCCTACGGGATCCTGATGGGAGAGTGTGCGTTCACGTGAAGCTGGAGGAGACGCTTTTTAAACCCAAGGCCCCACACGTGTATCCGGCGTGACTCAGGAAGGTGGTGGCAGCATCAGATGGGCCAAGGCAGAAAGATGGGTTGATTGGAGCAGAGAAAGTGATTTATTTCGTCAGCTCCTTTGCAAGGTGTGCCTAATGTTTAAGTGAACTGAGAGCTCCGGTATCACAGATTGTCATTCTGGGCCTAGAACCCTCTTTCGCTTTATTTTAGTGGTTATGTGTTGCCCAAGTAGCAAAGGGCATACTTAGCATTGTGGACTCCACAATGTTCTTTTTACCAGGCAATGGAGGCGCTGTGAGGAGACCGGTTTGAGAGATTTCTAACATCCAGAGTACTCCCTAATACTGCAAAAGACTGTCTTCTGAAAATTGATTCGTCAGTCCTTTATTTGAACCTAGGAATGCTGTTCTCTCAGCAGGCTGGCCTCAAGACATCTATGTGTTTCATAACAGAAGTCATCTGTTGTTGTGATAGGATCTGCCTGGCTCCTGGAGGTGGCTGGGGACAGAGAGGTGGGCCAGATCAATGCTGGTTCTTCTTCATGTCCCCTTTTTTAATAAAAGTTCCATGTACACACAGTTGAAAGACAAATGATTCTACAAGATAGCTTGCCTAAGCCTGTCCTAAAAACCACTCACCTTCTCTTTCTCTCCATCTTCCTAATGTAGTTATAGTGTAATTTTGATTAGCCCAGTACAGGTAAAAACTAATCACAGAAGAGCCATGTAGTTAGTAATCTATAATTTTCTTTTCCTTTTACACACAAGTCCTCTCCCCCCACCTTTGGAGTTACTGTCTGGTTTTTTTCATAGTTTCTTTCTCTCATCAACTTAGTCTCAAACTCTGCCTGCTATCTAAATCTAGTCTACATATTCAGATCATCAGGTAATGTGTCTTTTCAAAGAGGTCACGTTTTGTGGTATATGCTCAGTGCTCTGCTTGCGTCTCCTTGACACTTAATGTTTTTCCCAGCTGTCCAACCTGTGACCCATCTTAGAGGGCTTTCTCTGATTCTCTGATTTCTCTAGATTCTGTACCTGTGTGCAGAGCAGGCCCGACGGGCCAGGGAATTCCTGTCCCCCAGGAGCAGCCTCCAACCCATGAGAGACGGGATAAACTCTCTACTTCCTCAGCCCCCAGGCAGGAAAACTGACTCACGTGCCCAAAACTGTCTCCCAGAGTTCCCCAGTGGGATTAGCTATCCGCGGAGGTAACTTGCGTGATAATGCAGTTACTTCCCTTGGAGTCTTGGAGGTCACTTTCCAGATTGAACTTCCTGCCCTTGAATCTTTTATCTCAGGGTCAGCTTTATGAGAGAAGTAGAACCAAAAGGTTTCTGGAGCTTTCTGACCTGCCCTTCTTGCCTGTGTGTGGTATGGAGCCGTCATTTTGGGGTCTCCGTCAGCATAGGTTACCTCTTTGTGTAGACAGCTCTAGGGTAGTAGCTTAATTGATGGAGATGAAAAATTAACTGAAAGATGATTTTTTAGAGCTGATCTGGAAGGGGCTTGAGCCAGCACCGGTGTTCTGCCCAACACGCAGGACACAAAGCGTCCCCTTTTATCACAGCTGCCCCACGTTATCTTCTTCAAAATGCAGTGTTTTTTTTTTTCTTACGTTAAGAGTAATACCCACTTACTATTAGACCAGAAAAAAAAAAATCAAAGTTTTAGAGAAGAAAGTGACAATCACGTGGAATTACAACACACAGAAATAAGTGCTGTAAACTTTTCCATTTCTGTCTCAACATTTCCTGTAGATACATACACTTCACTTTAAAAAAAAAAAGCATAATAGGATAATGCTATATATATATGCCTGCTGTGTCTTAACCTGCTTTTTCTCCGTTTATCATTGCCATATTGCGGTCTGTTTTCTGTGCTAATAAAGACAGGTGAACAGTATTCTCTGTAAGGCCCGTATGGCATTCCTGCATATTTATATGTCGTTATATACATGGTACCGTAATTCACCACTCCCTTACTGGTCACCATATAGGTTGCTCTCTATATTTTGCTATTATCATGAAAACTGACGTAAAACCCCTATTCCACGTGTCTTTGTACTGTCGTCAGACTCTTGCTGAAGGTGAATTCCTAGACACACAATTGCTGTGTGCCGCGGAAGGCACGTTGAAGTCGCCCTTCAGAAAAGTACCAACTTACACATCCACCAATGCCACTGGCCCGTATTAACCAGGTTCTGCCGGGACTTTGCTAAACAGCAGGTACTGGGGCACAGAGCTGGGATGAAAACCCTACACGGTTCTCTTCCAGCCCCAGTGAGCACGTGGCTGGGATCCGCTTGGGTTGGTGTTCCTGGGCTAGAAGGCCAGCCGCCATCGTTTGTTAGTGTGAATTAGGAGGAGAGGTTTATTGAGTAACAGTTCATGGTTTATCTCATACAAGCTTAAAAGGTTTCTTGGGGAACCCTGATGACTCTGAGGAGGCAGCCATAGAAATAATATGACTTTACAACCCTGTGGTATCTCAGAATAGTCTATTGCAGGCTTGCCGGAGGATTCCCATTTTTTCCTTTTTTTTTTAATTTTATTTATTTATTTATTTTTTTCAACGTTTATTTATTTTTGGGACAGACAGAGACAGAGCATGAACGGGGGAGGGGCAGAGAGAGAGGGAGACACAGAATCGGAAACAGGCTCCAGGCTCCGAGCCATCAGCCCAGAGCCTGACGCGGGGCTCGAACTCCCGGACCGCGAGATCGTGACCTGGCTGAAGTCGGACGCTTAACCGACTGCGCCACCCAGGCGCCCCTATTTTTTCCATTTTTGATAACCGTGATGCCACTGACTTAAATGTCTATGGAGCAAGTCATGGATACACACAAAGGCACCTGTTAAATTATATGGTCCTTACTAATTGTGTAACCTCGGGTAACTCACCCATCCCCTCTGGGCCTCATCTGTAAAATAGAGACAAGAACGGTAACCGCCTGAGAGGGTCGTTGTCAGGATGGAACCCAGGAAATGCTTGTGAAGCCTGCTAGATAACGTGCCTGGCTCCACGGTGTCGGTGATTCCCTGTTGGTACCTGTAAACACACCCGAGTAGTTAACAGGCCAGGTAGATGGGGGTGGAGGTGATAGGTTGTAAGTGGGGAAGGCGTTGGGGGGCAAGCCAGAGGAACCGGGAAAACAGCGGAGGAGGTCATAGAAGGGGCTGCCGACCTGATCGGATCGCTCTTGTGAGAAAGTTTGAAGATTGCCATTTCTGGTGGTGGCAGTGGTATTTAAGGGACGCTTTTCTGGGAGACACAGCAATGTTAAGTCCACGGAGGAGTGAAGGGATTTTCGCGGGTAAGCGTAGGTCCAGAGTGTTGGGAAGGTTGAAATCCTAGTTTAAAGTGCCCAGCCTTCGACCCAAGCGTGACCAGTTTTGCATCCTGGTGAGAGCGTGGCCACCCAAGGAAGAGAGTAAACTTAGTTCCAGAAGCTTGTCTCAGAGGGTGCGGATGGCACTCGGCTGTCACCAGTAAGCCGCTCAGTTGGTTCTGGGATGGTATGTGTGACAAAATTAATAATGTTTCAGAATTTCAAAATAAAACTTTAAGATCCCATTCATATTTTTAGTATGCTTGAAATTGAAAAGTTTTAACACCTGGAACAATCAAAATGAAAGTGAATTAATATTCATAAAATTCCTTTGCAGCCCATTTCTCTCCCCCACTGTGATTGCTCTGAGGCCTTGAGTGCTGTTCCCTCCAGCAAGGGGGTGGTTCCTAATGGATTTTTTGTTGTTTTTTTGTTTTTCTTTCAGGAGTTGGGAAAACAACATTGATCCAGAAAGCCAGTGAGGTTTTAAAATCCTCTGGTGTGCCTATTGATGGATTTTACACAGAAGAAGTCAGACAGGCAGGGAGAAGAATAGGATTTGACGTTGTCACCTTATCCGGCACGCGGGGAGTTTTGTCTAGAATTGGGTACTGACATTTCATTTCTATGATGTTTTATTCTCCCTGGGCACAGGATCGAGCCAAATAATCTCTGATCCCTATCTTGAAGAATCTTGGGCCTTTGCGGATTTCTCAAGAAAGAAAACAGACTTTGAAACCACAATATGAAAAACAAAGTACAAAGATAGCATATTTCACTTAAAACTTACTCCACTGAGTACTAAATTTTTATCATTTTGTAATTCGTCATCCTGTTTCTTGTGCTACTTTTCCAAGATATTTGGGGCGCTGCCTCCCTGTAGCTTGGGGATCGGCACCCCCAGGGGTAACTTCCAGGGCTGGTGGCGGTGGTGTGGGCATACTTGTTGGAAACCCTGTTCTCAGGAGACGGCACGGCATCAGGTTAGCTTTGCATACTACTGCGTTTTGTGTAGGCGATGTCTCGGTGATTTAGCGTATGTCGAAGGGCCAGAGGCTCAGTGGCGTAGCTGCAAACCAGAAATCAATACAGGGGTCTTTTCAACAAATGCACTGTTTCTTTATTCAGCTCAGAGCCTCCACCTGGAAAACGCGAGTGCCGAGTTGGGCAGTATGTGGTGGATCTGACTTCCTTCGAGCAGTTGGCACTTCCGGTCTTGAGGAACGTAAGTGTGTGATTTCTGCTTCTGGAGCCCATCTCTTCTTCGTGCTCCTGGGAACAGAGTGGTTTTGCTCCTAAGGAGCGGCCAGTTTTGCATTTTACAATTTAAAAGTTTTCAAGTGACTGAGCTGTAAAGAAGGTATGCACCGTAATTTGATGTCACTATGAACTACAAATAAATTCCTCCTCACCCAAATTTAGCCCATGGAAATATTTTATACTGGGAGAACTCTGGTGCCCAGCCCCCAAGGCTCCCAAGGTTAAGTTTTTCCTTTGCCTTCCTCCTATTTATATCTTAACCCTGTTTTCACAGCACAACAAACATTTAGGAAGGGAAGATGTCATTATAGAAATATTACCATATTACACGTCTTCCTCGGCTTACGAGGGGTTACCTCCTTATAAACCCATCATAAGTTGAAAGTATGGTAAGTGGAAAACACATGTAATACATCTAATCTACTAACCAGCTGACCTTAAACATGTTCAGAACTCTTCACCTCAGCCTACGGTTGGCAAGATCATGTAACACAAAGCCTATTTTGTAATAAAATGTTGAATATCTCATGTAATATGTTGAATATTGTACAGAAAGGGAAATACATAATGGCTGTGTGGGTGCAGAATGGTTGTCAGTGTATTGGTTGTTTACCTTCATGAGCCTGTGGTTGCCTGGGGGGTGGGACTTGCTTCTCCTGCCCAGCATCGGGAGAGAGGATCCTGCATGCTACCGCTGGCCCAGGAAAAAGTCAGAATTTAAAAGTTGACCTCTGGGGGCGCCTGGGTGGCTCAGCCAGTTAAAGCATCTTACTTTGGATTTCAGCTCAGGTCATTATTTCACGGTTGTGAGATCAGGCCCCGCGTTGGGCTCTGCCAGGCATGGACCCTGCTCGGGATTCTCTCTCTCCTTCTCCCTCTGCCCCTCCCCAGCTTGGCACACAGGTGCTCGCTATGTCTCAAAAAAACCCATTTTTTTGACCTATGGTTTCTGGTGCATCCATATTGCTTTCACACCACCATAAAATTGAAAATCATAAGTTGAACCATCGTAAGTCCAGGACCATCTGTGATATACCGTATATCACTCTATTATCTGTTTTTTTATTTTGTTTTGTTTTGTTTTGTTTTTTTGTTTTTGTTTTTTAAACAGCGTATTGAGATATAATTCATATACCATACACGTCACTCGTTTAAAATATACAATTCACGGGGCACCTGGGTGGCTCAGTCAGTTAAACATCCGACTTCGGCCCAGGTCATGATCTTGTGGTCCATGGGTTCGTGTGCCGTGTTGGGCTCTGTGCTGACAGCTCAGAGCCTGGAGCCTGCTTCGGATTCTGTGTCTCCCTATTTCTCTGCCTCTCCTCTGCTTGTGCTGTGTCTCTCTCTCTCTCTCAAAAATAAACATTAAAATAAAAAAAAAGAAAAAATAAAATACACAATTCATCTTTTTCTAGTATATTCATACGATCATGCAGCCAGTCATCACGATCTAATTTTAGAACATTTCCATCGTTTCAGAAGGAAACCCCACACCCGTTAAGCAGTCATTCTTCATTCCTGTGTCTCTCCCAGCCCCTGGCAACCCCTGCCCTACCTTTCTTTGCCTGTCAGTTTGCCTGTTCTGGGCATTTCGTGAGAAGGGAATCATATAATATGTGGTGTTTTGTAACTAGCTTATTTAACTTAGCATAATGTTTTCAAGGTTTATCCACACTGTAGCACATATCATTCCTTTTCATGGTCAAATAATAGTCCATTATGTGGACATACCACATTTGGTTGATCTACCCATCTGTTGATGCTTCCACTTTTTGGTTATTGTGAATAATGCTGCTCTGAACATTCGTGTACAAGTGTTTGGGCAGATGTCTGTTTTCACTTCTCTTGGGCACACACTTAGGACTGGAGATGCCAGGTCAGGTGGTAATTCTGTATAAATCTTTTTAAGGAATTAGCAGACTTTTCCTGGCCAGCTTCACATTTCCACCAGCAGTGGGTGAGGATTCCAGTTTCTTCACATCTTTGTCAACACCAGTTATGGTCTTTTTTAATTTCATCCATTCTAATAGGTGTGAAGCATTGTCATATTGTGATTTTGATTTGTATTTCCCTGATGACTAGTGATGGTGAGCATCTTTTCATGTCCTTATTGGCCATCTGTGTATCTTTTTTTTTGAGATATGTTTATTCATTTGATTTGCCCATTTGTAAATTGGCTCAATTCTCTTTTTACTACTGAGTTGGGCGATTTTTTTTTTTTAAGTTTATTTTGAGAGAAAGAGCATGCACGCATGTTAGGGAGAGGCAGAGAGAGAATCCCAAGCAGGCTCCACACTGTCAGCACAGAGCCTGACTCAGGGCTCAAACTCACAAACCATTAGTTCATGACCTGAGCTGACAGAGCCACCCAGGCGCCCCTAAGGTTTTTAAAAAAAAATTTTTAAGTGTTTATTTATTTTTAAGAGAGAGAGAGGGAGACAGAGCACAAGTGGGGGAGGGGCAGAGAGAAGGGGAGACACAGAATCCAGGCTCCGGGCTCTGAGCTGCCAGCACAGAGCCTGACGTGGTGCTTGAACTCACGAGCAGCGAGACCATGACCTGAGCTGAAGTCAGACGTCCACTCAACCAGCTGAGCCACCCAGGCGCCCTTAAGATTTTTTTATAAGTTCTGGATACCAGTCTGTTATCAGTTATATGATTTGCAAGTATATTCTTTCATTCTGTAGATATTTTCCCTTTCTTTATGGTGTCATTTGAAATATGAATGTTTTTGAGAAGTCCAGTTTATCTGTTTTTCTTACGTTGTATGTGCTTTTGGTGTTGTAGCAAAGAAGACTTTGCCTGACCTAATTTCGTAAAGTTTAACTCCTATGTGTTCTTCTAGGAGTTCTGTAGTTTTACTGTTACATACAGGCGTGTAGTCCAAAGTAATTTTTGTATATGGTGTTATCCAAATTCCTCCTTTTGCATATAAATATCCAGTCGTTTCAGTACCATTTGTTGAAGACTGTTCTCTTTCCATTTAATTGTCTTGACACTCTTGTTGAAGTCAGTTGACCATGAATGTAGGGATTAACCTTGGACTCCAAATTCGATTCCATTTATCCTTATGTCAGTTCAGTCTATTCTTAGGTCAGTAGTACTCTGTCTTACTGAAGTTTGGATTCTGATTGGGTTGTATTGAATCTGTAGATGAATTTGGGGAGTATTGCCACCTTAATAATATAAAGTCTTTTGATCCATCCACATGAGATCTCTTTCCATTTACCTATATTGTTTTGTAGTTTCTAGCCTACATGTCTTATACTTCTTTTTAAAAAATTTTATATCTTAGTATTTTACACTTTGGGGTGCTATTGTAAATGGAACCGTTTTCTTAATTTCATTTTTGGAATTATTACTAATGTATAGAAGTACAAGTGATTTTTGTTTATTGATCGGTTTTGTATCCTGTCACCTTGGTGAATTTGTTTATTGGTTCTGAGTTTTCCAGTGAATTCCTTAGAATTTTCTTTGTGGAAAATCATGTCATCTACAAATAGAGATGGTTTTACTTTTTCATTTCTACTTTCGATGCCTTTTATTTCATTTTCTTGCCTAATTGCCCTGGTTAGAACCTTCAGTTCACTGTTGAATGGGACATACTCATCTTGTTCCTGATTGTAGGGAGAAAGCATTTAACCTTTTATCATAAAGTATGATGTTGTCTTTGGGTTACTTGCAGATGGCCATTACCGGGTTGAGGAAGTCCCTTTTTATTCCTAGTTTGTCAAGTATTTTACAACGAAGAAGTGTTGGGTTTTGTCAGATCCTTTTTCTGCATCTACAGAGGTGATGATGTGGTTTTTATCCTTTATCGTATTAATAGAGTGTATTATGTTAATTGATTTTTGAATGTTAAACCAGCCTTGGTTCTTGAAATAAATCCCTCTTGGTCATGATGTGTGATTGTTTTTATATGTTGATGGATTCAAAAGGATTGTATGCAAATCCTTTTATATGTTGCTGGATTTTTATATGTTTGCAAATATTTTGTTGACGGTTTCCATGTCTGTATTCATTAGGGGTGTGGTCTGTAGCTTTCTTGTGATATCTTTGTCTGAGTTTGGTATCAGAATAATACTGACCTCAGAATAAGTTGGGACGTGTTCCTTCCTCTTCTGAGTTTTAGAAGAGTTTGTGAAATATTGGTATTAATTTTTTCTTTGGATGTTTGATATACTTTACCAGTGAAGCCCTGTGGCCTGGGCTTTTCTTCAGGGGAAGCTCTTTAATTACGAATTCAGTCTCTACTTGTATAGAGGTCCTGAGTTTTTATTTCTTGTTGAGTCAGTTGTGGTAATCTGTGTCATTTAGTAACTTGTTTTACTTACCTAATTTGTGGGCATACAGTTGTTTGTATATTCCCTTATAATCTTATTTATTTTGTGAGATCAGTGTGTTTTCCCTTCTCTTCACGCCTTATGTTAGTTATTTAAGTTCCCTCACGCCACCCCCCCTCCTTTTTTTTTTTTTTTGGCCAGGAAAAGATGTGTCAATTTAGTCAAACCAGTTTTTGCCTTTGGAGTATATATTACTTTTTTAAATTCATTCATCAAATATTTATCAAATCCTAGCTATACACTTGCGAGCAAAACAGACATGTTTTCTCCTTCCTCCAGACTCAGTCGAGTGGGAAGTGTAGACATTGAACAAGCAAGTGGACAGTTGTCATAAACACCGTGAAGGTGACAAGTGGGGTGCTGTGAGAGGTGCCAGGAGCTGACTAGATCAGGTGACCAGGGTGGAGCTCTGGGGAGGTGACGTGTAACTGAAATGGAAGATGGGGAGGCACCGTCACTTCAGAGGGAGACTACGGGCCTGTTGGGGGGGCGGGGTGGGAGGTTCTATGGAGAATACTACAGATGATGGAAAGAGATAAACTGAGGCCCCACTGCCCTGGGGTGGGAGTAGGTAAAGAAGAAGGTGTGGTTGGTAAGGGGGGTGGGACCACACGATCAG